GGTGAAACTAGAGGGCCAGCGACTAACCATGACAAACCTTTGGGCTTCGCCATTCGTTCATTCTCAGGTCTTTCCAATCTATTTTCTTGACTATATATGTGCGCACTGGTATTGGGGTCCGGGCCATGGGTTTGCCCTGAGTTGTTCCTCCTCAACTCTTCTGGCATAAGTTATATTTTTAAATTTTAAGTTGATCTGAGGTCTTTCCCATTACTGCCTTCGGCGTCTTCGTGCTCTACTCCTTCACCGAGGACGCCTTCTGGCGCTCCCCAGCCAACCCAGGTACGCCAAAGGCCAAGGCAGCTGAGAAGGCCTGGAGGGAACATCCGCTCTTCGCCGACATCAAGGAGCGCCAGGGCAGCGCAGCGAACACAGACGAAAAACCGAACTGATCGGGACTCATTTGGGGTCCTTCTGAAGGGACGCTGGGACTGAGGAAAGGGGTCAAGGGACGGTGAAGATGGCATGTATGATGCGGCTATGCATGTAGATGTGTGTAGATTTGGGTGGGTTTGGAAGTTCTGGACTGGAAGTGTTAAATTGTCCGTAGTGCTCTAGGAGCTTTTTTGGACACAGGTGTTGGCAGTGGGCTTAAGCTAACAGCCTGCCTCAATGAAGCGATTACTAGTGGCATCAATCAGAACTGAAGCGGTTGCACGAGGCATTGACGATCAGAACTGGTAAGTGGACTCCATTGCCATGTAGCTCTTCCAAGGACAAGATGGACTGCCCCAGATGCTCAGCTCCCTTAAGTCCCCACAGCTCGCCATAGCAATTATACCTCCAGCATGAACACTTCAGATTTCACATGGCCTGGAAGTTGGGGAGGAAGGAAGACTCAATACTGACACAGTTTTTTGATTGTTTTTGACCTTAAAACCTGTACATATATAGACTTATACCCATGTAAACGTATGTGCCAGGACAGCCACAGGGTGGTTCACCCTTCCTTCCAGGATCCCATGTTTGGCCTCTTGAACCCTGACGACTACGAGAAGGGCTTGGAGGAGGCCTGGGAGCGAGCGAAGCCCGCGGGCAGCACCGTGACCGTGAAGGAGAAGTTGGCCAAGCTCTCCAAGTGGCTCGAATGAAGCTCTGGGACGGGTGGCAAAAACATTAGACTTGAAAGGGTGAAGAACTGGAGGTCCAACAGCGACCCAAGCCGAAAGAATGGTTCTTGGGAGGTCTTGGAAGTATATGTTTTCCAAATTCTTGAGCGTTGCAACCACATCTTCAGGAGGTGGATTGTCATGCAGATGACATGTACCCTTGATTCTGGATATTTCTGGATGCAAGTGGAATTCTGTGCCACGTCGACATACCATGGATGCCACATCGAGTTCACCGGGAAAAGCGGCATGTCCCCCCCGTCCGTGACGTACGGAATTCAAAAACCTATCATGGTCACTGTAAGGTGCCCAGTGATACACCGTGGCTGCTTGCACGGTCCCCTCAGGTGTTTATCAATGGCCCTTGAAGGTAAAAGCTGTCCATTAAGCACCTTGACCGTGGGCCCTGGTCCAACCAATCACCACACTTGAAGAGCACAGCACCCAAAATCACCTTGTTAGGCTGACAAAGTGTGGTGCTTCAAGAGTGCTGCATTGGTTTGGGTGCGTTGGTGAAGACGTATGGAGACGAAAGGCTCCCTATGGACTCCTTCGCATCCACAGACTCGTTGGTGACCTGAAGAGGTGGCAGGAGACGCACACCATGGAGCCCCAGAAAAGGGCCGGAAGGCGGAGGCCCTGACATGCCAGTCAGTGGACCGCCTTCAACATGCTTCACCCTGAGGTGTTCTCCTCCCCCCACTAGAGAAAGAAAACCACAAAGAGAGAGAGAGAGAGAGGGAGAGAGAGAGAGAGAAGAAAAACATCGGATGACATGGCAGGTGGCAAAACCCAGTGTTAGAGGAAAGTCGTCTTCCAAGAGGCCATGTTTTTCCACTTCGATCCATGTGATGTGTTCATCAGAGTGGAGCCCAACGGTTGGCCACGGCCGCAGCCGTTTGGAGCACCACCAGTTCTGTCGATCCGAACTGGCGTCAACCGAGGCAGAACGCGCCGCACTGGGAGACATGGAACAAGGTCTCCTCCGCATAGGCGACCCATCCGCGCGCTTTTTGGACCAGAAAAGGAGCTGCAGGCTGTTGCATCAAGCCTCCCAGTGGCCGCAAGAACACGAGGGGTGTGGTCATGTGTGGTTCCTTCTTTTGCATGAAACGGAGCGCGACATCTATTTTCACGCTGGGCCTCCCCAAAAAAGTCTCTGGCGCTCCGGATCACACCGCGGAGTGGGTCCGCGCCGCGGCGGAGCTATTGGGGTTTTCTCTCCGGCCACCCGAGACCTTCACCGACTCAGGCCTGTTCCGAGGTCCGACGAGGCGGGTGTAGCTTGGCCGACCAAGGCATAGAGAGAGGCATAGAAGATGCATAGAAGCATAAAACATGTGCATACGCTAGGTCAAGTGAATGTGCTGGGTTGGGGGACACCTACCAGGTTACCAATTGAGTGTCGGTTTTGGTCTGTGTTTCTTGGTCACTGTCAAGGTATGATGCCCTAAGGCCCTAAGGCAATTTGCACGGCCAAAGTGTATAATTGATAGTATATAGCCACTTGACCGCTGTGATGGGAGACGAACACATGTTGGATGCCTTTTCCGGTCCCCCGCGAAGGAATTGCCTCAGCTGTCGTTACGCGGTGGTCTCGGCCAGCTGTCTCGGCCAGGCCGCGCTGGTCTTGTTTGCGGGCCCAGCAGGAGGGAAGCACTGCCCCAGACGCGCCGAGGGCGAGAGGATGCCACCCAAAGGGAGCGCTTGATCTCTAGGTGATTCATGCGGGAACCATGGCATACAAATCATCAAATGAATGACGTTCACGTGAGCCATTCGATAAACCCATAAGGCCATAAGGGCTCTGTAAGCGTTCCCGCAGGCCAAAGTATTAAGACATGGGAACCTACCAAAGTTTGCAGAATCGCTCGCTTGAATGCTAGAGATGGTTGATGCTGAGGCTACCGACAAGAAGCTTGGCTGGTGGGCTCAGAGCTTTCTTCCTCGATCAGCTCAGCGGTTTATGGGGCAGGCAACCTCCTTGCATGCTGGACCAGGATGAATGCTCTCCAAGATACTGTGAATCCACCAGGCAAACTTGGCACACTCAGAGGAACAAGCTGTTGAAAGTCTTCAACCAGGTGGTGACAGGCTATCCCCAAATGCCACCACAAGTTTGCTCATGACGAGGGAATGTCCAAAAGCAGACTCTGCCAAAAAGCTGATCTCTGTGATTGCTGCAGTGTTGCTAAGGCGGGCGGTTTGCAATATGAGGATGAGGAGCACCGGTGCCCAGCATGTTCAGATCAAGTTAAGAAGGCGTTCCTACTCTTGGGTTTCTGGTTGAGGTGCCTAGCCGCCACGACAAAACTACACGGGTGAGTTGAGGATTAGTTGAGGAACATCTATAATGATCTATATTGGTTTTTGTTGATAAGAGACACCATTCACAAGATGGGGAGCCCGAGTCCCTGAAACACCAAAGACCGCAGTTGCCGGGCTTGAGCAAGACCGAAGAGGTGGGCTTGAGGACCTGGGTGTGTTGATTTTGATGTGCTTGTGCCGTTGTGCCAACCACCCAGTGAAGGCGCATGCAATGTAACTCCTATAGGTCTGACATGTACCCAGCCCTATAAGAATCAGAATCCGGGCCCGAACCAGCACGTAGGGTTTGGTTCGGGTTCAGATCAGGTCCGACCCCGAAGGTGTCGGGCCCAGGTCTGTGACTTCGCCCGAAGGCCTTGAAAAGAACCCGATGCCACCCCCGGACCTTACAAGACCCTTGAACGAGGAACACCGCAGCAGCGCATCGATTCCGTAAACGACATGATCCAGAAGAAAAAACAGCGTCCAACAGCACCAAGGGTTTAGGGGGGTGCATTAAGGGAGGGGAAATGCGATGAAGTACCTCGTCCAAGGTGTCGACCACAGGCATGCCATATGTCGCGACGTGTTGGAGCGATAGATCGACATCGGTCGGTCGGTCGAAATCCTGGCAACCACCCCTGATAGAATATATTTGTCTTAACACCCATTGGTTTACTAAGGCTATAGGGATGGATTTGACGCTACTGGCCAGGTCAACGGTTTCGGTCTTTGGAGGCTAGGGGAAGGAACTGTTAGCTGCGTTGAGGCCAGGCACTTGCTCCAGTGCGAGCGCACTGCTCCCCGAGGCACGGCAACCGCACAGCCGGGAAGCAGAACTGCCTATTGAATGCTATCCCCACCTATAGGAGTGTGAGAACGTTGGGCACTTGAAACACCATTGGAACACCTAGGGGTATGCTGCCTCCAGCCCCCCGCCCTAGACGTCCAGGTTTGCCAGGGGTTGCGCTGCCTTGACCAGGTTCCAGGATCTACTCCTGGAAGGCCCCTGAGAAGGGGGAGAGCGACCCATCACACCTCTATGGTTTTCCCCATCTGTGAACAACCTTACGGCATGTTTTATAGTAACTTAGAACGTGTTTTTTGAGGAATTGGCTTCCCCAAGAACATGAACCGATTGAATAAGGCTTGGAGGGAGGGAAGTAGAAGTGATCGCTGTGCCGCAGGACGATGTCCCCTCACCTCAATTAGAGGGCAGTGGCACGTGGTTTTTGTGGGTGGTGGTGGATGGATCTCTTCCAAGAGCAGCGTTGAGCAACGGAAGATGTTGGAAGATCGCAGACCCTATCCTGACCTTAACGGCTAGTCTATAGTCAGCACTGTGGCTCGAACAAGGCTTAGTCCTGCAGGCGTAGAAGAAAGCGCACTAGAGGCACGGCTCAGGATCATCCAATCTCTTTGTTGAACACACCGCTGGGTCATTCTCTCGGAAATTCAACAGATTGTTCAAGTTTAGATTCTTCAAGTTTTAGATTCTTAGATGATGCAACATGTAGCTAGATAAGGTTCTTTGGGACTTTGAATCACCTGGATTATATAAAGATCATAGAACTACTCTGATCACATGAACCATCATGTGGTTTCGACAACACCGGCCGCCCATGTCTAACCTGTCCCCTGCCTTTGCCTTCCTAAGAAGAGCAAAGGTTGTGAGCCGCCTCTTGACCGCAACTGCGCCAAGCTGCAAGGCGTAGACATGGACCCCTCCATTGTTTTCCTCGCGGTTCCTTTAGGACACGCTGGGTTTGAATCTCTCCATTGTTATGGACCCCCCCCATTTGTTTGCTGAAAGAGAGAGTAACTGAGTAGCTCTGAGAGAGCGACTGACTTGAATCTCTCCCTCGTCCTCATGGTTACGTGGACGATGGGCACCCGGAAAGAACATGAAATCCACGACATGGCATGATCATATACATAGACCGACAAGACTATGACAAGTTACTGTATTTCACGGGGTGCTATGTCGGGTGATCCCTTCACTGGATGGACTAAACTTGAATACACTGAAGGAGGATCACCCAAAATAGACTCCCTGAAACCTCCCAAAAGAGACTCACCTGCTTAAATTTGACTCCCTTCACTGGGTGGACCAAAGTCTTTGAATACTCTCCCTTTTTTCCGCATGGTCTTCGGATGAAACCACCTGGTGAGCTCTTCGGATCGGGTCCTTTTAGAAGCGAATCGGGTGAAGCACTGGGTCACAGAAGTTATATGCCAGGGGTGTGGAGGAACACCCCCCCTTCTCAATCGACATGTGGTCTCCAGAGGTCATGAAATTGGACAAGACATATATGTATATTCCCTTCGTAGAGTTCGACCCCGGTGATGTGAGTGAGTCTTTTGGCATCAGCACTGAGGTCCATCCTGATGGAGGCTTGGAACCGCGATCGTCGTGGCCGGGGAGGGGTGGACGTGTTCCCAGGAGTTGGTTGAATTGGACGTCCCGAGCGGCTTGAGTGCAACCAATGAGTGCTCATCAATCGTCGAACGAATGGGCTCAGCAGCAGTCAACCTGCTGCAAAGGCAGCAGAGAACCTCTATATATACCCTCCTGCAGCAGATTAACATGGACTCTCATTTGTAGAGGAAAAACGAGGAAAAGTCTTCCATGGGGTAGTTGTCAGTGTCCATGTTAGTGTGCAAGGGGGTATGTACAAAAAAGGCAGGCACGACCCACACGTTGTTTTCCTCCAATTTTTAGGACTTCCATGCGATCAGCCACGGGAAACATCTCTGTGAAACTGGGCGACTTGGTTTTACAATAAAGATCAATAAAGACGACTTGGTTCACTGGTTCACCGAAGGATTTTTGTTCATAGAGCATGGACCCAACCCATTGAGGAACAACACCTTTCAAATGGCCCTGAAACTGGAGCCCTATCTCCGAACTCATGAGCGACTAGCGGCGCTCCCGTGCGCATCTTCTCCAGCTGGCCAGGCCGACGCCGACGAGGCCGACGCCGACGTGGTGTCTCCGGCTTCTCCGCCGAAGCGGCGGATGTGCCAGACCTGCACTCGGCCAGAAAGCGCCTGCATCTGCGCCAGCCGCCCGGGTCGAAGTCAGACCGACAGCACCGGAAAGACCGGGGGAAAGGCGCTGACTGGTCCAGATGTTGGGCGTTCGCTGTGGGGAAGTGGAACCCCGTGGTCCTGTGAAGTCCACTTCCCAATCCATGGGACCGTCATAGTTCTGCCCCCTTTTCAACCACCCCACTGTAGTTAAATATGTCAATATACCAACCCCAGACAGGTCATGCTAACGGCTTCCACAGGTGAGCGGGTAGTCGAATGGACGTTGCTCCCGATCCGGTCGATGACTTCAGCCAACGGCTTCCATTTGGTGTCGCCGCTGAGCCATTTGGTGAACCAGGTGAACCCCATCCAGGATCGGTGCCCAGATGTCCACGTTTCAAGCCTCGTTTCGTGTGCGTTCGTCTTGGTGTTGAAATGGAGAGCTCTCCAGGACCGGAGTCCCAGTCTTGGTGATGTCGGCCTCCGATATGGACCACCCGTGGGGCGAAGATGAGGTTTGCCCTCGACACCTTTGCGACTACCAAGTGGTCTCGAAAGCATCCTTTTGCTTCGTCATCCAAAGGCAGGGCCGTGCAAGTCAGCCCAGGCCTATTGAACTGGCATGCAACCCATCCACGCAGCCCCAATTTTTTCGGCATCCATGTAGACAAAAAAGAGTTAATTATACCCGATTTATGACATTCCATGTTAGCAACTATTCCAAATATATATGGAGTGTTTGGGAATTGCAGTAGGCTTTGGATTCCACCGGTCCTCAAACACGTCCCGGACATGCGTTTGGACGCTCACAAGGACAGACTGGAAGCCAGCCGAACCTTAGCAGACAGAGACAGGAGGACCCATGTGGACAAACCTGTTTCTGTTTCAGACGGGGTGCCTTCCTTCCAGAAATGCGGCGCTTACGCGAGCTCCGCGTCTCTTCAAAGACACTCAATTGGTTCGACACTGTGACAGCCTTGGAACCAAGGGCCTCACTCGTTGAATTTGGACCGGCGAGAGATCCGGCATGCATCTGCAGACAGCCCTTCTTTCTCCGACAGGAGCGGCGACAGAAGCACCAGAGCGCTTGGATTCTCGGGCATTATACGATTGCCGCATTCGTTGGTCTTCTTAACTGTCATTGCCCCTGTTGATGCGTTGGATGGCCCCTGTTACAAGCATCCAAAAGCGCGGTAGGAGGGCGGCACCCTAAGTAGATTCTTTTGTCCCGTAGAAGGATTGTAGAGATGATGACCCTGCCAACAATTCAGGAAGTGCGTCACTCCTTCTCTTCCTTTTTCCATGCTGGAGGGGGAGGAAAATCAGAATCGGAATCGTACATCCACTAGGCTTGCGACTCTCGCTGGCTCGCGGTGAGGACACCAAGTGAACTGAAAGCCAATGTGCGTCAAGAGCCTGCCCAAAGTAGATTTGACCGGTAACATCCTGGACGACTGGAGCAAACAGAAGACGAGGAAAACCATTCAAGACCTATAGGTGATACTAATATAGGTGAAACCTTCATAATATGTTCCCTTGAATTCTGTGTGGGCCACCGAAAAAAAGCGCCCCTGGTCTCCGCGACGTTTGTTCACCGCGGCCCGAGGATTCTGGAGCGGTGTCTCTCTTCCGTGCGGCAGCACGTCTGCAGGAAGCTGCCCACGGCGCCGAGCGGTCCAGACGCCGAGAGCGCCCCAGGCGCCGGGCGAGCGCGGGTGGATCGAGAGGAGCCCCGGTGTTTTGTCCTTTTTTCGTGTGATATATTTTTTTTTTTTCAGTTATTATTAGGGGGGGTACAAGCCGGTATATTTGTTTTTTATATAATGCGTTTGGATGGCCAGGAATGAGAATGACGCACCTCAAGTAAACATGCAAGGTGGATGGCCCCATTGGAAGACTAGGAGCTGGTATAAAACCAGGAGGTGTTCCAAGCTATACTGTATGTTTGTTGGAGGAAGGGTACCTCAGGCGATGCGGTTGGTGGATGTTGGTGGTAGTTCTAAAGTTTCTGAAGTGGAGCGGGAGGTTATAATATGTTGTTATACAAGGTGGGCACATATTCACCAAGATGCGTGCGGGCAAGGAGCCTCATGATCAGTCATTGGTTTCTCAACTGGCAAAGTTTCCCTTTGTCTCTTCTAAGAGATGGCAATCAAAGTTTCCTCCCCGGGCCGCCAGGGTGTCATAGGGTTCCTTTGCATTTTCGCACAGAAACTTGGCCGCTGCAGATGGGGTGTGGGTATGTCACCCTTTGGACATACACATGATTGACCTTTTCCAAGCGATCGACCTCTATTTGGGCCGTCTTGAATCGAATCACCTGGTGGCTCAGGCTTTCACGATGCGCAGTGGGTTGGGTGACGTCGCAGCGGTTGGGTGACGTCGCAGGCATTCCAAGTGGTTTGGAGTATCTCTACGAGCAGCCCGACACTTGCCTCCTGGTCTTCCCCGGCACCGGCGCCAAGCCGCTGCGACCCTCGGCCGCAAGAGTCTGACACGCCCTATATACTGTATTCTGCCAAGCGCTGCCAGTGCGAAGGATTGACCTTGGCGAAAAGACATGCAAACACTCAACTCACAGTTTCCGTGTGCCATGTGTTGGTTCATTCCAGGGTAGACTGAAAAAAGTGGACTGTGCTCAGCATCCGACTTTTGGGTTCTGAAGACCATTTGTTGGGTTCGCTCCTGGTAGTTGGATTGGTTGTCATGAGCTCGCTCCTGTCAAACTTAGGAGATGTTCTAGATCCCGCTGCTTAGATTCTGATCTGACGTGGGCCAAGGGAATGCGAAAGGAATAAAACCGGTCTAAATGTGACTGCTCATTGGCCATGTTTTGTACACATTAATGACCTCGGATTGTTTTGCTGATGAGGCGCTGTTCGATAACTGTTGTATAGTTCCTCCTGGAATCCTCCTCCAAATTTGAGATATCAGGATTTGCCATTTCGCAGAACCATGTGTGCGTGTGGCGATGTTGGTGCTCTCAGAGGCCTTTTGGATCCTTATGTTTTTTTTTCCCCCTGGGGAATGGATGAGTACCGGTCATGCACGCCAAGGTCTCTTATTACAAAGTCGGATAGCGGAAACACAAATATGATCCAGTGGACTCTGGGACTCGGGGAGCAGTGACCAGTATAGATAACAAGCTACAGAAAAGGTCTCTGAAATGGGATTTTCCCGCCGTTGGTCGGGCGTTCTCTCCATTCGGATCCGCTAGCGGGTATCTCCATTGGATGCGCCGAGCTAGACGGTATGCTGTCAGGTGTCCAGTGGATTCCAGCAGTCAGCAACGTCCATGACATCCAACTCCCCAAAGAAGGGATCTATGATGTCTTTAACTATCAAATGGTTGAGAGAGGCTCCCAGCAGCTCTTGCCTGCAGCTTCTTACCTCCATCATCCTCCATTTGGTATGTTGAAAATATGATGCTAAACTCCCAAGCCACCAAACAGTTGAGAGGAATCGTTCACATATCCCAACTTCGGAAGTTCGATTTTGTCACCGTGCATCGTCCGTGGATCGCTGTTGAAGCCGCGGCCACGCACCGAACATCGGGGACACGACCCAGGGGGTGAAGCATTTAATTTTGGTGGATGCTACTTGGCGCTTTGCACGCGAGATGGCCGCGGTGGAGGAGGAGTGGACATCCGAGCACGGGCTATTGGAAGTTGGAGCTGGCGCATTTCTAGTCCTACTTGTAGTCCTGGATATCGCGTGATTTGTTGGGATTGGTGCGGCGTTTGAACGTACTGTATCAGACAGGACGGCTTTCTGAATCAAGATATGTTTGCGTTGCCTAGACCAACCCCAGACACTTGGCTAGTTTTCAGCTAGGAAACAATCACACTTGAATAATTAAGATATCCTTATGTGACTCCCCCTCAAACCCTTCATGTGGGCATCTTTCGAATCAACCAACATGCAACATGACCACCAACGGATCCACAGTCTTTCCCACCCGGAAGAAATCACATAAAACATCACACCGCGCCCCAGAACATCGCTCGATCCACGCCTTCTCCGATGCTTGAACCGTCCACCGGTGGGTGGGTGGGTTCCGGCACAGGCAGGTCCCTTGTCCCAGATCCGCCGGGTGGAGCTCACCCCTCCTCACCAGCTCCGCCCCGTCTTCGTGGTGCGGAAGCTGCTTGGGCACAGCGACGTTGCAGCGGCGACGGGCCGGTCCCGGTCCACCGTCTTCGTCCGGAACCCTTGAGACGTGACCCGAGCATGGTGGGCTTCGGTATGTATTCGGAGCATGTTCCGAGAGCGTCAAGACCCAACTCGACGTGGTTTTTTGTGGGTTCCATGTGGACCTTCTTGCTGGGGAGGGCCATGTTTGGACGAGCGGAGGGCCATGCGTCATCAGCTGTTGGACTCCGGGTGGTCGACCGGGTGGTTCACCGGGTGACACGGCAGTGGTCGTGGGATCAAATCGCCAGGAGTTTTCTAAAAGGGGCTGCACGCCATTTATGACTAATTGTAAGTATTATATATATTATATATACTTATTCCATCTTATTCCATACACATGGATGGTTTGGGATAGTGGTTTGGGATATATATTGGTTGGTGAAGATTTGGAAACTTGCGCATCCTGATGCCAAAGTGCGCAGGGTAGTTTCTCTTAATCTTCTTTTGGGGTGGTGTTATTGCTGGACCTTTTCTGCAGCCCACTGGATGTAGCATCCCATGGGTCCTGCATGTCCTTCCTTAGGGAGCGCAAAACCTCGCAGCGATCCAAGTGTTTGGTTTTTACTGTGAATCATGGCTGACGTATGAGGCCCCACAACCCAGTGTTCATGAAAGATTACCAACATTTTTTGCACCTTCCTGCTCAGGATGAGGTTTCTGCTTGGAGAAAGGAGTTGTTTCGTGTTGTTGTTTGTCTCTCTCTCTATGTTTCTCTCTTGGAGCCCAGAAGCACCCCAAATTGATGTCACCCTCGCTTGGTGCAAGAGGTCTCTATCAACCAACGTGTCCAAGTTAAAAGGTTATTTGCTATTAGTTGATTGTGTATATATTTGATGCATTAGGGGCAAACGACTGAGGTAAACACATCGTCGTAGGACATCAATAACGGCTCCCAAGAAAATCCTTGCGGGAAAAGCACTGGCGACGTACAGAGGACCAAACTTGCCCTTAACTGGGATGTATCTAACATAGTTGAAAATTGATTTCAAAAAATATGCATTTTCCTTTGAACTATGCTAAATGCATCCCACTGAAGGTTGCTGATTGATACCATCCAATTCCAAGAGCGAGCTGAGGCCCATGGTCTTGACCAAGGAAGAGGCTGAACCTGGTCGCGACAACTCGTAGACTCTGTGACGGGCCAAGTCGCTCTCTTGGAAATGCATGTGGCACTCCCGCACAAATGTCGGACACTCCATGGCACTGGTCAAGAGCGGCCTTTTTTTTTGGGGGGGGGGCTACACCTGGCTACAGCCGACTCGTCGAAGCATGTCGACTCGTCGAAGCATGTCGAAGGCGGAGCCAGCACAGTGGGGCTTCAGTACCGCTGAAGCAGCAGCCCTGGCGGTGGACGAGATCGCTCATCTCCGAGGCCGGGAGGGCCAAGGAGGTTTGTTTCGCTGGGCTGACCAACAGAGGTTGAAGGACCTTGTAGACATCCCATAGGTACCCCAGTATCCTATAAGGTCACTTAACCCCTCTTGGGAAGTTTCTATGTGTTTGGTTGATGTGTTTAGGTCGTTGACACACGTGCGCTGGATGGGAGCCCTTTCTTTCAAGCTCCGGATCGTTTGGGGTTCACTTGTTGGTTCCCAGACCATCCATGGGACTGCCTGGAATATATATGGTTGTCAAGGATGTTTTCATGTAGTTTTTCATTTATATATAACTCATTGTCACGAATCCAGTCCCCTCCGTTTGGTTTGGGGTTTGACCACTAGGGACACTCCATTTTTCACACCGAGGACGCCCGGACGCCGCGGATCCCGCGGACGCGGACGTCCCGGGCGAAGCTTGGGAGCTGGTGACTCGTGCCTTGCGGGTGCCTTGGGCGACGAGTGCAGGAGTTTAGACAAATCCAATACCAGGCCCCCGGTGCCAGGGGTGGTGAATGGATACCCCGAATCACCTCTAAGGAGCTATAATTAGACACCCCTGGCCTGGGGGCCCTGGCATGTGTGCAGCTCAGTAGTCTTCCTAGTCTTTCTTCAGTGGCGTGCTGAAACTAACACTCCCTGCATGGAATCATGATGAAAAGACGTAGATGGCATGGACTACACGGGTGGTGCCTCCAAGTAACCATGATGACTCCAGAGAGTGTGTAACACGTGTACCCAGACCATCCTGTTTGGGTGTCCAATGGAGATCCCTAAGTAGTGCAGGGTAATTAGTCCATTCGACACCCATTCGATGGTCCTGGCATGCATTTTATGTTTTCTCGTTCTTTTTTGGCATGGCCTTCACGGTGGATACTACAGACTCACTTTAACGCGTTGAGATCATTTGAGATCCATTCCTGGACGGATGTGTCTTGAACATGAGATTCCTACTTGCACACTGGAGCGATCGAATGGCAATATGTTCTATTTGGTGCAGGCAGCGCTTCCAAGAGGCGAGCAGCGCTCGAGAAGCTGCTGCTTTAGACGTTTTGCCACTTATGACAAGGCTTTAGGACCAAGTCTACGAACACACCCGCCAAGGTTCCCAGTAGATTTTGGTGTGCAATTCTTGAGCAAAAACTTGGTAGTTGTGGGGTCGCCCGCTTCTTCACAGCGGCCAGGCACCATGTTGTTCAAAAACATGTGCGTTCTTTGAGTCAGGTGGGTCCATGTGTCTCCAAAAGAAGTCGTCCAGAAACGAGAAGCTACCTGACTACCATCTTGCTACTTAGGAGGTAATTAGAACCGAGGGTCCAACAAAGATTTGCCGAAGGTGTTTACAGAACGTGCAGCAGCTAATTAAGGCGTACGCTCAGATTCAGCTGGAGCATACCGAGGCGCGGGTTTTAGTGGGCGACCGAGCAGAAGAATCGGGTGGAACAGATACACTGAGTTCATGACTGCTATGGCCCAGATACTCCATGCATTGCATGTTTTTGGAATATGTTTGAATATTGACCTACACAACACCCAACGTAGCTAAATAGTGGTCAATATGCCGTCACTTTTGGAAGACGGAGGTCGGTGGTTCTGCTCAGTCCAAGTGGGACATTTGAGGTCACAGCTTCAGAGGTACGGCCATCCAGGTCTTTCGGCTGTTTCTGAGAGCTCATCACTGTGACCGAAGAGGTCTGAACAGGAGAGAAACTGAAGAGGGGGAAGTCGATTTGAGAGATCGGAGGCTGAACTGAAATGGTTGCAGGCTA